TTAATGGGGTGTAACCAACCCCATTTTATGGAAAACGGTTTTGAAATCATTCAAGGGTTTAAGGGGTGTAATCTTTCTCCTAAAATCTCTCAATAATGGGGTGTAACCGACCCCATTAAGTGAGATACGGTTTTGAAACCGTTTAGGTTCCGTTTGAACCAGTCAAACCCAGAAAACACGGGTCCGCCCCCTGCGTTTTGATGTTGCAACACAGGGAGGACCTCTGCGTTTTGATCTTGCAACGCATGGAGGACCTCTGCGTTTTGATCTTGCAATGCAAGTTCAACCCCTGCGTTTTGATGTTGTAACGCAGGGATGACCTCCGCGTATTTATGTGAAGAGACCATCAATTTGTGGTCTCTTTTGCTAGAGCGTTGCAAAGATCGTCATCTTGTAATCTTCGTCTTGGCTCCTTAAAAATATGAGAATCATTAGATCGTATCTCCTGATGTTGGTTGTGAAGGTTGTTGAATTAGAGCTTTCATCGGTTGTTGTGAAAGTCGTCATATTGTAATATTCATCAATCTACGTGAAAGTTTTCCAATTATAGCCTTCTAGAAGCCGTCAAATTGTAGTTTCCGTCATCGGTGTTTGATAGAGATAAGCTATCTGTAATAATTTTTAGATAGCTTACAATTTTAATGTCTGATTTCATAATATGAAAGATTTTTTTTTTTGGGGGGGGGGGGGTCAATTTTGAAAAAAATCCTAAATGAAAAGTAAATGAGGGTTAGTTGTGGTAGACCCGCTTAAGTGTCATTCAATTGTGATTGGACTCTCTATAGTTCTATTTTGTGTGAACATGCCCTAAAATGATTTTATTTTGACTTTTAAAATCTTAAAAGGTTTTGAAGAGGGGGATAGAACTTAGGGCTAGCAATGGTACACAATTCCATTTCAACCAATTCATGTACCAACCGTACCAAATACGTTGGTATACCATCAAATTGGTACACGGTACAGTATACCATACCAGCTTCAAAATACGGTACGGTAGGTGGTACACATTTTTCCTCTATCGTGGTATATCATACCTACCGAATTATACTATATTAAATTATTTAATATATAAAATATATATATCGTTAAATCTCAACCATAGATTTAGGGAAGATAAATCTCAACCGTCGATTTTTTTAACCCTAATCTAATCTCTCTCAGCCTCCCACTCTCAGTCTCAGTCACTTCTAAGCTCTAACTTCTCTCTCTCAGTTCTTGATCTACTTCTTTTTGCCTCTCTGACTCTCTGAGTTCTCTGCTTCTCTCAAGACTCCTCTCTCACTTTTCGATCTATCTCTCACTTCTCTGTTTGGGAAGCGGCAATGGCAGGCTGGCAGCCTCACTTGAACGAGCTCTCTCACTATTGAGGTAACACCGAAATCTACTTCCTTATTCAACCAATCCATCAATTGGTTTTTTGGATTGGTTGGGTTTGTTGGTTCTTTTGGATGTTGATAACTTGATATGTGGGTTGAGTTGTTAATGGGTTGCAGATACTTAATTAGATAGGACTATTTAATTGATTTATAAAAGGGTAATCTGGAGCAAGACAGATAGTTGTTGGTAGTTCCTGATTGAGATATGCTTATATTGATCAAATAATAGACAGATATTTGTTGGTCATATATGTAGAGAAAATAAGTCTTGCTATCTGATATGAAACCAAGGCCACGGCTGTACATTGATACTTTGTGAAATCAGTTTTCTATTTTGTGAACTTTGTAATTGATGTTTTATTCTTGTTCCATTGTAGGCAATGGATTCTTTTATGTCACAAAGTGGTACTGTGGGCTATTCAAGCTCAACACCATCAGTTCCATTCAGTACAAATGCAGAGACCGCTGTCGGTTTACATGCTGCACCTCTGCCACCTCTGCCACCAACTACACCATCAGTTCCATCCAGTGGAACTGAAGGGACTCATGAAGGCAGCCAGTCTCGGAAGAGAAAAGAGCCCTCAAACAAAAGCAAGATGTGGCAGTACTTTACCAGATGCAAACTTCCTGATGGTCAAATTAATCCTAAACATTTCACATGCGACTATTGTCACGAAATAGTGTTGTGCCTCACAGAGAAGAATGATACTAGCTCCATGTTGTATCATAGCAAGAGATGTAAGAAGCATCCTTGTTATCAAAAAGCCAAGGAAAGTGATCCCACTCAGACGAGGCTGAGTCGAGATAATGTGAGTGGAGGCACTGGATACCGAAGGTGGAACAAGAAAAGGTGTGATGATAAGTGTATTGAGATGATCATCAAGGATGAGCTTCCATTTCGGTTTGTGGAGAGGGAGGGATTCAGAGCTTTATGCAATGAGTTGGAACCATAATGGACAGTCCTGGATAGGAAGTAAATTGCTAAGGGTGTGCTAGAAAAGTTCAACTCGGAGAAGTCTATGTTGTCGAGTCAGCTTAAGAGGAGTGACACAAGAGTCTCTATCACCACCGACACTTGGACATCGATTCAAAATATTAATTACATGGTGGTGATTGCGCATTTTTTGGACCACGATTGGGTGCTACACAAAAGGATCATTAACTTTTGTAATATTACTAGTCACAAAGGTGAGGACATTGGGAGAACACTTGAGCAGTGTTTGAGACAATGAGAGATCAACAAAGTGTTTACTATTACAGTAGACAATGCTAGTGCAAATGACGTGGCTGTCCAATATATGAAGAGGAGGCTTACTAGGTACCAGACCTTAATGTTTAAGGGAGAGTATCTACATTTAAGATGTGCTTGTCACATTATCAACTTGATTGTGAAGGACGGTTTGAAGGAGTTAGAGAGTGAAATTGCTGCCATTTGGAATTGTGCCAAATATGTGAGGAGTTCATCGCAAAGACTTGACAAGTTTAGGGAGTTTGCAATTCTAGAATAGTGCAAGGCAAATGCCAATGTCCCATTAGATGTTATTACAAGATGGAACGACACATATCTTATGCTTGAAGCTGCAGTATGAGTTGACGTTTAACCGAATGTGTGAAGAGGATGAGGCGTTCAAGAGCTACTTTGCGGACAAAGTTGGACCTCCAGCTTCTGAAAATTGGAGGTATGTAGCAGCATTTTGTGTGTTTTTGAAGAAGTTTTATGTTGCAACCTTAAGACTTAGTGCTTAGAAATCAATCACTTCAAATGTATTGTTTATGGAGATGATCACCTTGCAATGTGAGATCAACAAGGCTTGCATTTCAGAAGATCCTGTTATGAAGAAAGTCGCAGCCTCAATGAAGACAAAATTTGACAAGTATTGGGGCAGCTTTGAGTCTATCAACAAGATCGTTTTGATATCGAATGTGTTGGACCCGAGGTACAAGCTTCAATGGGCTAAAATGGCTATGAAAAAGATTAATGCAAGCCCAAATACAATCCAGTCGATAGAAGAGGATTTAAAGAAAATCTTGATGAAGATGTATGAAGAGTATAAAGGCTGTGAGGGCATGGAGCAAGCTGAGCAGCCTCTCGAAGATGATTTAGAGATGGATGGAGTTGCCTACGAGGACCTTGATGAAGTCAGTAAGGAGATAATTAGAGAAGGATGTCAGAGCAATCACAATGCATTCAGAATGAGGTTGATCAGTACTTAACGGATAGGCATATCAGCCTTACGTGCAAGACTTTTGATATTGGCAAGTGCTGGAAGGTAGCAGAAACAACTTATCCGATTTTATCCAAGCTAGCAAAAGACATACTTGCTGTTCCATGCTCCACTGTGGCTTCGGAGAATGCTTTTAGCTTAGGGTCAAGAGTTGTAGATCCTTTCAGAGCTTCTTTGACACCAAAGACAGTTGAGGTCCTTGTTTGCACTTCTGATTGGTTAAGATGTGCACCTGCAAATTTCAACCTCTACGAGCCTCCAATAGAAGATGATCTAATAATTTACCACGAACTGGAGGAGCTTGAGAGAGGTACATGTTTTGTTAAATTAAGTAGTTATTATTATTATTATTATTATTGCTTTAGTTGAACTTGCTACTGAATAGTTTGTTACTGAAATTGCATAATGTATAATGATCAGTTTGTGAAATCAGTTTGTTGTTGAATCAGTGTGTTACTGAATTGCATAAGGTACATGTTTTGTGAAATCAGTTTGTTGTTGGTTACGTAATGGTGTTTTAGTTTGCGCTATATTGTTTTTGTGACTTGTTATTGGATTTAATTATGTATTTATGTTATTGTTGTAGAGAATGTTTTTACACAAAACTTGGAGGCAGGAAGGGGCGGTCCAAGTAGCAATAGCTCTGTTCAGACAACTGCTTAAGCATCAAGTGATAGGGGGTTTATGGCCTAGCACCATCACCGCCTACAACATGCCAACCTGTCCCTCTTTTAGACCTATCATTTCTTTTTTTCAATTGTTTTATGAATTTGTTAGTACTTTGGTTGTTTGGCTGTTTGGACTTTGGCATGTTCAATTTGTATAAGACTTTGGAGTTTGGATTTGTGTTGTTATTTGTTATTAGTTTTTTACTTATTTTGCAACAATGAATTACTGAATTAGACAATTAGTAAGACACATTTGGCCTTTGGCAGCAGGAGAATTATGCTCTTTTTAACTTTTTGTAATGGTGTTGTTGAGCTGGGCCTTTAAATTTTTGGGTCATAAATATCTTGGTAGAAGCCCATTACCAACCGTACCAACCGAGTACCAACCGTACTAAGTAGTTGGTATACCATCGTTATTGGTTGATAGAAATGGTGAATTTTTCCTACCAATTATATATTGGTTGGTACATGATACTAGGAAAATGTAATTGGTATACCTACCAATCCAGCCCTAAGTTATAGATCTTGTATACTTCTATTATTGAGGATAAACTATTAATTGCAATTTTTTTACAATTTTTAATTTTTAATAAGTTAAAAAAGAAAGTTCGATAATGAGGACTTGAACTAGTACTACAGCGGGTCTATTTGCATAAGCAGAGCTCGGGGTCTGTCAGTAATTGGTGATACTAGGAGGGGTATATTCGTAATTAACCCAACAAATAAACCGGTGTTTCCAAACCTCTAACCTCGCTCCCTGCGATTCGCGCTCAGATCTGCAACTGTTCATCTCATCATCGATCGATCTCCGTGTTCCGACGATGTACGGATTCGAAGCCCTAGCCTTCAACATCCATGGCGGGTTCCTCGAGGCGATCGTCAGAGGTCACCGCGCCGGCCTCCTCACCGCCGCTGACTACAACAACCTCTGCCAGTGCGAAACCCTAGACGACATCAAGATGCATCTCTGCGCCACCGAGTACGGCCCTTACCTCCAGAATGGTGAGCTCGATCTAATTTGGTTCCTCAGTTTGAAATTCTGTTGATTCATCTGTACGCTAAATTGAACCCTATTTTTACAAATTATAGTGTTTCTGATGCTGTATGCTAGTGCTATTATTGTGTTGGGAAAGATGGAGGGATTTAGAGTTAGCAGAGCAAAAATTTAATACATAGATTGTAATTTTGTTAAATCAATTAGAAAAGTGAGGGTACTGTAGCATACGCCAGCGTGAAACCCTAGATGCGACCAACTACGGCTGTTTTCTTTAGAATGGCGAGTGTGATTTAAAAAAGTTCCTCTGATCAAGATTTTGTTGAGTTGTCTGTAACCTAAATAGAACCCTAATTTTGTAGTTTATAGTGTGTATGCTGTTGTATGCTAGCTGTATCATTTAGGAAAATTTGTTAGAAGTCATTTGGTTGGGTAAAGAGGAGAGAAGCTCTCGAATATAATGTAATGTTAGTAAAATCATGGTAAAGATTAGTGCATAGTATAATATTGACAGTCCAAAACACTAGTCGACGTCAATTTGCATTTCTCCACTAACAACTAAGGCCCTTAGCCCCAAAATGGTGCGTTCGATCTAAAATGACTACTCAGTATAGAAGACCAAGATTTTAGTGCATCTGTCGGCTAAAAGAGAACCTTAATTTTTAGTTTACAGTGTTTTTTGATGTCCTATATTGGTTTTATCATTTAGGGAAATTTTGTGAAAAGGTTCTGTTGGAGATTTGTATTATCCGATAAGGTGGGCAATTAATTGGTAGATTTTGGTCAATTTAAGTTGTTATGAGAAGTTTGGGCTACAAAACTTCTCAGATCACAGATGCTAGATATTTAATCTATTGGATCTGCTAGAATTGGAAAATTAAAGATTGTGATAATTCTACAAGGTAAAGAGAAGGTTTTTTTCCCTTGCAGTTTATAGTATTTTTCTATGTATGTGCTAATGGTTAAAATGATTTCTCAGTTTAAAGATCAAGATTTGAGTTAACAGACTGCCCAGATGAAGTTTCTGTTGATTCATCTGTAGGCTAAACTGAACCCTATTTTTGTAGATTGTAGTGTCCTTCATGTTGCATTCCATTATTATCATTCAAAAATTTTGTTTAAGAGGGTGTTTGGGAAGGGTTATTTTTTTAAGCTTATAAGTTATGCTAGCTTTTAATGGCTTTTGGCTTTTTTGATAAAAAAATACTATAAAAATTGTTTGAATAGAATAGTAATTTGCTTGGTCAAACGTAACTTTTTAAAGTGAGCTTATAAGTTAGTTTTTCAAAAGTTGGGTTTTACCAGCTTTTTAAAATGGGACTTATAAGCTAACTTATTTGGCATTTTACCAAATAGGTAGAAGTAAAAATTCTAGCTTAAAAGCAAATTTGACTAAAAAAATAAGCCTCCCCAAACACCCTCTAAGTGATTTGTTTGGGTAGGGGGAAGTTATCAAATCTAAATGATTTAGAGTTGGTTAAACGAAAGAAAATATACCAATTGTAATTTGGCAGGCACGTAGGCATTATATACTCAGAAGTACTCATTTTTTGCTATCAGGATGGTGAGATTATGGATGACATGCTTCATTGAATCAAATTAAGGTGATTAAAGTGGAGGAATGCATCATGAGCTCTATACGATAGTAAAATGCTTATTAAATTGAATAGAAAGTTTTATGGAGCAACTATACGATTAACATTGTTTTATTGATAATAATCTTGAGCAATTAAGAAACATGTGCTAAACTGTGTGAAAAATGACTGTAGCAGAAGTGAAAATGTTAATAAGGAACGTGTGGATATACAGTGAGCGCCAAGTTAAGAAGTAAGTGTATACAAAGAAAGTTAGTAGACAATTAGACATTGTTCCCGCTGAGAATATAATGAGAGAGAATCAAGACCATGGGTAAATGCACTAATTAAGTTAAGTGATAATATTATGATTAATGGTGGAAGAAGGATTAGATTTAGGCCTAGGAGAACTTGGTCGGAAACAATTAGGAAGAATATGGTAATCGTTAACTTGTCGAGGGAGGTGACCCTTAACAGAATTGAATGAAAAAATATAATTCATGTAGCATATCATAAAAATTTGGGATAAAAGTTTGGTTGTTGTTGTTGAAGAGTTTCCGTTGGGAATTTGTATTTTGCAATATCTGATTAGAAGGGTTTAAACTTTTAAGCATTTTGGGAGATTTTCTTGTTCTTGGAGTTTCCAGACTAAAGCTATGTTGCAAGGGTACTTCTATTTGGAGTTGTACCCATGTCGTACCCATACCCCACATTGAAACTTCAGTGAATACTTCTTGGATGTTTGTGTGCACTTCCTCAAATGTGCTCACTTATATAATACATGTTTAAATTTAGAAAAATTCGCATACACTTCGTGGATGTATATTATACATTTCACATGTAGTTCTCCAAACTCGTTGGACGTAAGTTGGGTTTTCAGCCCTTTCCCAGATCAAAACTATGATTGTAGAGGGTCTTTGGGTATCAAAGTTAAAAACTAAGCAAATTTCTAATTTATAGACCTATATTATAAATGAAACACATAAATGTTATAGGAATTTTATTTTCTAGCATGTGAAATGAAACAAAATAATATTGGTCTGATGTAAATTATATATATAGATGGATGTCAAGGTTTTAAGTATTGACCAATAATATTGAGTTATCACCGAGTTACCGAATTTGAACCCCTTCTGCTATGATAAATTTAATTTTAAATTGATTATTGTTTTTGGATGTTTGTTGGCGATAATGCAGCGATAATGTGAGATATCAGCCGATTTTATTGGCCTAAAAAATTGGAATTAATGGCTTTCTTTGGTTTGGGTTTTGATTTTAGGCAACGGGCACGTATTCAAGAAATAAGTTTCTAAAATTGGTCAGTGATCCTAAACATGTTTATTTACATTATAGTATGTTTATATTTCATTAAGTATGATTAAATTACATTTTAGGATATTATATTATGCATATACATCATCCAATATGTCACTCCGATAAATACTACTTTTCCTCGATATATCCCTGATATCCACTATCCAATATGGATTTTGACCATCCAATAAATCCCCGATAACCGATATTTAAAACCTTGATGGATGTATGTGTAGCCGTATCCCAGTACCCTATCCTCTACAAATTTAATGTGTCCTGCTATGTAGCACGGACACGGATCCGACACGGCCATCCGACACGCCGACACGAGGCAAATCCTAAAAAATACATAGGATACGTGTGTTCGACACGTGTGTCCGACACAGACACGACACAACACGGCTTCATGTTATGCGTGTCCGTGCTTCATAGGTGTCTTGTACCCCTTCCCGCACCTGTACATGTACCCATGTAACTAGATCTGAAGTGGTTAATAGCATTATAACAGAATGATGACATGTGACCTAATCATTTTCACTTGCCTTTTGATTGACCTTGGGAAATTCATTTAACCTTTGAGTTTTGGTCAAATCTAGTAGTTTTGACAAATTTGGGTGAATTACAGAAATACAAATACAAATAGACTCTATTGAAATTGTTTTTTTTTCCAAAATTTTGGTCTTGGAACCCTGTAAACTTGTCGCGTTGGATTTCTCCCATTCCTTATCTGAATGGACAGTGTTTTAAACAGCCAATCTATGTGTGTGTTAATGGACATTCTTGCTTTACTGTATTTGATGTGAATAAATCTTGTTCTCAAGCAGATCTCCTAAATTAAGGAGTTTGTCAATCTTGTGACGTGATAGTTTTCTGTTTTCTGTTGGCATCTTCTTGCTTAGAAGCATTGTAGTGATTTTCCTCAAAGTTTAAACGGGCTCCTGTTGGATTTGTTATTAAGTACTTAGTTTGATAGTTTGCAATCACAATTTTATTTGCAGAGCCTTCACCCTTGCATACAACGACTATCGTGGAGAAATGCACTCTCAAACTTGTTGACGAGTACAAACATATGCTATGCCAAGCCACAGAGCCATTATCAACCTTTTTGGAATATATTACGTATGTGTTTATGTATCTGTCTTCAAAGCTCCTCCCTATAATTTATACCACACTTAATGCACAATTTATTATTGCATTAATCAGATAATTTTACTAATTAAGAAGGTTGATCCGTGACCTGTATTAACCATATTCTGCTGCTTCCTTTTGCAGGTACGGCCACATGATTGATAATGTCGTCCTTATTGTGACTGGAACCTTGCATGAAAGAGATGTCCAAGAGCTTCTAGAGAAATGTCATCCACTTGGCATGTTTGACAGGTATTTTCTCACATAGCTTCCTGCCCCCCTTTTCCTGAACCATTGAGGAGAGTTTTAAGATCTTATCTTCTTTCTCAGTATTGCCACCCTTGCGGTCGCCCAAAACATGCGTGAGCTTTACAGGCTAGTCCTTGTTGATACACCACTGGCTCCATATTTCTCAGAGTGCATCACTTCAGAGGTACCAGCCCAAATCATTGCAACATTTATTTGGTTTTAAAAAATTTCCATGAACGTCCATGGTTGTTTCACTGCGCCGGGTGGAGGGTTGGGGGTGGGGGGCTGGTTGTGCATTATTAGGTTCCATAAAAGGAGCATGTGAATCTTTCAACCCATTGTTTAGGTGATTAAGTTTTATGGAATTTAAGTATGGAATTCAAGTATGTAGTACATGCACATTTTCACAAGTTACCCTTTTCTCGGCTAAGTTTTTTTAAAGAAGTATTTGGTTTTCTGTTTCAAAGAGTTTGAACATTACAAGTTTTATGTTATCAGTTAAAAGGCTATTTTGTTTATGTGTTAAAAGGCTATTTTGTTACGCAATGCTGTACCACTTACCGTCTTGAATTCATATGACCTTATCCATCATTTTTTATAACTATTATGGTGATTTAATTTGCAGTGCTCTAATTGGTTGGTTTCTCCAGGATTTGGATGACATGAATATTGAAATTATGAGGAACACTCTGTACAAGGCATACCTCGAGGATTTCTACAAGTTTTGCCAGGTATTCTGTGTTCTATCATTCATAAGAAAGAGTAATTTTCATGCTGTTTGATAATTTGGTTTGTGTTGATGCAAATAGAAACTAGGTGGTGCGACTGCTGAGATCATGTCTGATCTCCTTGCATATGAAGCTGATAGAAGAGCTGTCAATATTACTATAAACAGGTTGGTTAATATATCTTTGTGTTGATATATGGTGTTTTCATGTGCTAGTTCTCGTCCTTCATATTGATGATAGATGCAGTTTAACATGTATCCACTTCTTTGTTCCAGTTATAATCAGTCATGATATGTACACATTTAATTTCCTAGGTGTCTGCACATTTCAGTTAAATAAATCATTCATGATTTTATCATGGTTTTCCGGTTGCAGTATTGGCACTGAGTTGACACGTGATGACCGGCGAAAGCTTTATTCTAGTTTTGGTTTATTGTAAGCTTTTAATACTGTCTCCTAATCATCGATTAAGATAGTAATGTTGTCAGTTCACATATGATGGATGATCTGTTTTTTAGATACCCTTATGGTCATGAAGAACTTGCTGTCTGTGAGGACATTGACCAGGTAAGAATCATCTATCACGAATATTTGAAGCTTATTATGATTTACGAAGGAAGCAATAGCTAGTTTTTTTAGATAAGTCAACTACGTTCATGGTCTGGGACTGAATATGCCTGCAATTATATGGAGGGGAAAAAGAATAACACTCTAGTTACCATATTTATTTGAACTGACCTTCATCTCTGGTAAAGGTGGCCTTACTATCATGGGTATTATGTGCTAGGTGTTAGAGGCTAGTTTGTAGTTCCTATTAGATTATTGAATTGGAAATAGGTTTCAGGATGGTACTCAAACATGTTACATACTTGACTCAGCGGAGGGTTCACCAGATAAATTTGGCAGATTTATGATTGACCTGTGCCTGATTAATAATTCTCATGATTCCCTCAAGTAAATTTTTTAGGAGTTGGTCTCTCTGTTAGAGTCACATTTTGTTTTTCATGCAATTTCTGATTAGTTTGTTGAACATTTGTTGAATAAGACACAGTTCAAGTTTTATATTCATGCAATGTATGATATATTTCATCCCTTCAAATTTGATATGCCTAAGGTCATGCATTTCCCCTAAATAAATGGGGTGGCGTGGTATTCCATGGGATAGGTATATCGTGGCACCTGTGTTACCCGGGTACTTCTATAATAAAGTTATACCCATACCGGACACGTAGCCGACACTTTCCTATACTCAAACTTTATGGACACTTTTTGAATATATGCATGCATTTATTACAACATGTACTCAATTATACGATATATGTATTAATTTAAAACACTTGTCAAACATTTCTTGGATGTATAGCTTACAGTTCACATCCGTTTCTTGAAACTAGTTCAATGTTTTAAATGTCGAATGTCGGGTTCATGTCGGTCGGCCAAAATTCATGTCGGATAGCGGAAATCGGGGATATATCGGGGGACATGAAAATAATATCGGATTGCCATATCGGATAGGTTGATATAATATCATAAATGGAATCTTCACATACTTGATAATTATATTGTCTAAACATATGAAAAAGTACATAACTTATTGATGTTAGGATCACTAACCAATTGTAGACACCTGATTTCCGAGTCGGGTTTTTCAAACTTGACCCAATAAGCTTAAAACCGTTTTTTTTGAAATTTGGCCGATATTTCTTGGCCGCAATGGCGCCCGACATACCCGATATTTTCCGACATGTCCCCGACATGACCTCAGAAACGCAATACGCATTGAAATGAAGGATATCGTGGCGGCTAGGGTATAAAACCGTCATATCGGCCGCCATGTCCGACATGGCAGC